GCCCCACCCCTGTTTAAATAGATACCTTTCTTCCCTGTAAAATAAGAGCAATGCTTTGCCAGCTTAGTAGACTAAAATTTACCTTTTTTAGTAACTGAAAGGTCAACTTTCTTTCAGATATGGGTGCTTCACTTAGGCTTTTTTAGCCACAAAAAGGGGGGACTTCATTTCCCCCAAAAGTCACATCCCTTTCATCAGAGCAGTAGCTTACGCTAGTAGTTAAACAAAATTTATAGTCACTCGTGAATGTTTGTCTTAAAATAGAAGTCAGAAATCAACTTTCCATTCAAATGTCACTGAAAGCCTGTGGTGGCCTGTACTTTGCTTTAGGGAGCTGCTTATAGCTTATCTTGTATCTTTTACCATGTGCAGTACTGGTGACAAGGGGCTGAGCACAAGGGGAGTTTCTCAAAAATGCAGGCAGGCCTACTCCCCTTTGCTGTTGACATGCTTAAAATGAAACTGCTTTAGAGCTTGAGGTTGAAGACTCTTAGGTCTGGCACTTTCCCAGACAAGTTACTCACTTGTAGGTAAAAGTTTGTGTGTCCCATCCTGCCCATCTCCCCAAGCTGCTGAAGTTGAAAAAGCCAAAACCTTTTGCAGGCCTCTGATTTGCCTAGCCAAATTTTAAATAATGCATTCCTTTTTTCTGTTTACAAGCATACAGTAGGTTTCTGTAGTCTCAGGTGTTAGACATTAACTTGCTGTCCAACTAATTTAAAAATTGTTGTGACCACATACAGCGTTCTGTATGTACTTTTGGGTGCACAAGTTTCTTCATGCTCTTTAAAACTTGTATAGCCACACCTGCTGTTGTGTGGCTAAAATAGACTGTTACCAGTTTTTTCAGTGCATCAATATTGCAGCTGGAATCTGTGTGGGTCTCCATATTGCTTTCATCACTGCAGTATCCAAGTCCCTCTTTGTAAATGTTCTGGAGTCAGTCCTCGCTGCTACATGTACATGGACTAGGAAAATCTCTCTTGGTACTTGAGGAATTGAGGTGACTACTCAAGGCATACAAGAAGTTGTTTGCAAAGCTGGAAACTACTACACTCCCCAATGACCACTTTTCTCTGTCCTCTGTATTCAGTGTTGGCAGCTAAAAAACAACTCTTCCTTGTGTAGTATAGGCAGTCTTGCCAATCAGATGCCAGTGAAACAGTAGCATTGATAAAAGAATGAATGTCTTGCTCACAAGGTGTTGCTTTCAGGTATTGCTAGGAACATAACTGTAAATGGTAAAATATCTAATGGAGTTATGTGGAACTAAGAGACTGTCCCAAAGCAAATGCTACTCTACTGAGTCCGTTAAGACTCAAAATAGAAAATTTTGGGTATTTAAAGTGTTGGGGGAAAAAGCCTTTTCTATTTCTTAGTTTGATTGTTTTGTTCCCCCCCCCCC